GTTCCTGAACCTGAAATCAATTAAATCCACATAATAAGCACATAGCCCATCAAGCAACCAAACCCTACCACTATATTCAATACAAGATCTCAAGAATCAATATATATACTCATCTCTTTTATTTATTTTTTCTTTTTTTTTATATTCATCTCAATCAATATAAAATCAATGGTCATCGGTATGAAATTAACAATTAATATAATCAATATCAATACATTAATATTATCAATAAAATAAAAGCATCTCAAGAAACATAAGAATCTGTCAACCTATAAGGAAATCAATAAAAGACTAAAAAGCAAAGCCAAGCGCCGTACATTGAAACATATGTCAACTATCTATTAATTATATTCATGCCAATGATTCCATCACATATTTTCTTCAATGATATTCCATATGAAAATGGATCTATTTACCAGTGTGAGTATGTTATATCAATATGTTTATCGATGTCTATAAGTGTAAATGTTATATGTTATATCATGTTGTATCAATCTAATTGTTAATCTTATCAATCATATATCAATTATATCTATCAATCAATTCATATATTATCATGCAAATGCAATCATAGATATAATTTATGAATAGCAAGGCAAGACATTCAACTTTAATATGGTGTTTTTATCCCTCCATCTGTCATCCATCAATCTTATCAATCCCTCAATCATTCAATTATATCTTTCAATTAATCATTTATTTTAACATATGACTTTCAATAAGACAATGAAGAGTCATCACTCCCTATCCGTTGACATAATTCAATCAATCAATTACAAGCTAATATTCAATATTACATCACAAACCTTTATTTTAAGAAAGCCCATCGGACCACCCTCATTTATAGGATTTTATCATTTTATAAGTCAACCCATATTAATTATAATGCTAATAGTCAACCCTCTTTGCTTACATATAAATGACACATTTATCATATAGCAATTGTATCATTTCCTTTATTCAGTACAACATTATGCATGAAATGCTTAAAATATATATTATTCATTTACTTTAAAAAATCATAACTATTAATTTACCCGATCAAATTTAATAATATTATAATCAAAATGCTCATAAGAATCATGTATATCATATATAAAAAAGTTATATGATGAAAATTTAGTAAATCAAGAGAAAATATATTTTTATTAATTTGGGAAGATTAATATTATATAACTCAAAATCATTAAAAACTAAAGTAGAATTTGTGTTACCTACCATGATCAAAAGAAATATCAAAATAGCATGAAAAATAATCCAAAACTCTTCCTCTCTCTCCTCTCCTTCTCTTCTCTTCCTCTCCTTTGGTTACCCTACAAGCTAAGAAATGAGGAAGGGGGAGGAATGGAATGTTAGGGATGTCAATATATGACACAACCCAAAATCTTGTCACAACCCAACCCAATATGACCTACATTTACACTGGTCATACCATATCCAATTATGGCAAGATTGACCCGACAATCTGGTTGGAGAAGCACTGAAATAAAACTTTCAATTTATGTACTGCATAGAGCCACTAATAATTGCAATATAAAGCGGAAGACTATTGAATCTCAAAATAAATTTCTTTTTATTATCCAAAAATATATATAAACTGAAATATATCTACAACAACACTTGGTAATAGAGAGAATAACAAAATAAAAGTCAATCCTCTAAAAAATAAAACTAATAAAATATACCTATAACATAGATCAAAGCTTATTATCCATACTACTCAGCTCACTCATTACCCTTCCTATGGTTTGAAATATAAACAAAAGCAGGAATGAGCTAGCATGGCTCAATAGGATATTGTAACCTAAAATAAAAATCAATAACTGAAACCAAAAGAACAAAAAATATTGTGCGGTAAAGTTATTATACGAAAAACTAAGACGGAAACAAAAGCAGAAGTTGAAACTAAAACTAAAGAACTATAAGTAGATATTCATTTTATCAGAATGACTCTCAGAACAAATTTTTATATATATTTATAACTTCATTAACATAATCTCACTTCGGTAGCCCGTAGACTGCAACATAACAAAATCCCACTTTGATTTCCCACAGGCATCAGATTAACATAATCTCAACCCGGTCGCCCACTAGCGCCGACATAATAGAATCCCACCTTTGTCACCCACTAGCGCCGGCATAACATCACGTCACATTTTTTTTAATTCATTTCATAAATTAAAACATAATTAAATTAAATTAAAAAATTATTAAAATGCCTCAACATCATGTAACAGAAAAACTATTAAATAAAAAATCACAATTCTGAAACATAATCAAATTACCAGATATTGTATAAAATATCATTTTGAAGCTTTAATTGAATTGAATAACTATTTTTAGGTTTCAAAAGAAATTTTTGAGTAGGTGAAAATCGATGCCTTTTCAAAATCACATGGAAAAAAAATTTAGAATACACTCAAAATGTTTATAATATTAATCTCTATAACTAATAAAAAGTTATGCGGTAAATGTTTTACTAAAATAAAATTATCTTTATTTTTCAATAACAAAAATACAAATTTTATTGAAAAAATACAAAAAAATATAAAATTATTAAAAATTGAAATAGGCAAAATGTAACTTACCTCGAGATGAACAAAATTTCCAACTGGGCTAACAGATAAAAATGACTCTACAACCTTTAAAACCCAGCTTTTCTCTCTCCTTCACTCTCTTTTTCTCTCAAATTTATGTTTCATTTCTCTATTAACGAAAATGGGTTCAAGAAATGATGTTTTAAAAATTTTCATTAATGGAAATAAATTTTAAATAAAATAATAATAATAATAATAAAATTAATTTTTAATATAAAATTCATATAAATACTTTTAGGGCTTCAAAAATTATTAAAAAAATATTCATAAAATAACTCAATTTATTTAAAAAATTCGAGTGGATTCAATTTACAGAATGGACATCTAACAATCCCAAAAATCCCAATTATATATCTAGGTGCCAATTTTTAAGGAATTTCACCGGTGCTAGAAATTTTGAAAAATTTTGTGAAAATAAAACATAACAATATTGTTATGCCAACTTATAATAACTGCTGAAATAATTTGTATCTGTTATAAGTAAAAATATCTTTTATAAATTTTTGAGTTATAACAACCCGACCAAAAAACTTTCGGGGTCGGGTCAATCTATTTACCAAACAATTAGGGTTTGGGTTCAAGATGCTAAACTTTTTTTTTAAAATCAGGTAGGGTTCGAGTTGACTTAAAAATCTGAAATCAACTTAGAACTAACCCAAGTTGCATTTGTGCGCAAACAGACCCCACCGTGCAAGCTCAAGCTCTCCAACGCTCCGGTTCACATGGTAGCACCTACCTCCCACTCTACGATTCACACCACTACGCTCACCTGCAGTCGTGCCCGTGCTCTCAACCTAGGCGCACATGCTTGTGCGCCTATCGGGACCGTACCCGGCCCCAGTGTTTGTGCTAGCCAGTTGGGCGAACTCGCTGTTTGTCTCGCCCACTCGTGGACACGCAGCTTGTGATTGATCTCTCCCACTCGCAGACACGAGCCACGTGGGTATAGGTAACCCGCATGGGTCAAGTTTGGTTCTACCTTTTAAACCCCTTTACCAAACCAGGACGGGGTCAAGTCACCCGAATTAGATTGGAATCAATTCCAGGTTCAACCTGAACTTGACCCGAATACCCTTTTTGACACTCCGATGGTGTAGTTAGGGGTGTCAATACTTGACCTGACTTAGATCTAACCGAGAAAAATTCTAGGTCTGGGTCAACCCATTTACTAAACAAGATGGGTTTGGGTTCAAGATACCAACCTATTTCTAAAATCAGGTCAGGTTCGTGTCACACGCGCTCGTATCTGCTCTACCACTCCGCCATCCTTGCACCCACGCCCGCGCCTGCTCCAGTGCCTATGCAAGTAAATTAGGGAAATAAATTAAGATACAAATTTCAAGTCATTACAATAAATACACATCTTTAAATCACTTAACATTTTCACAACTCAAGTAAATTAAGGAAATAAATTATACTCATACATCTATATAAGTATTTCATAAATACCAAATAGATTTTAGCTAAAGAACTTGACCAAAGTAACCATATCGCTCATCAAAAGCATTTGCCAATAGGGAATGTAGTTCTCCCCACTCAATTGAATCATGGAGTTGTCCCCAACATGCACACAATAGAACTCATGCAAATTCATCCAAACCCTAGCTCGAGAATCACTTACCGTGGAAGGACTTGATCTTCCAAGGTCATTCATTATCATCCAGGCTATCAAACTATCATGGACATCCCCCAATCAATTTATAGAAAGCACACACCTCAATGGTTCCAAATTGATACCCTCTAAACTCGATTAGTCCTTAACTTGTAGTCAATCTCACTTGAAGGGACTTGCGCTCAGAGGTACGCACAAAGGATTCCCCCATACAAGCTCATCCAATGTCATATCATGAGAACTCGTATGTGAGACTCACCATGATATAAAGGGTGATGTCAAAGGCAAAGAGCCAAATGAACCCCTAATAGAAAAATCAAATGTCAGATTCAATATGTAAGAAGTCATATTGAGTATTATATTTATTTTTATTTTTTTTAATATAGTCTTCACATAATCCTCTAAACCCTATAAATAAAAAGTGAAAAAGCAAATTTTGAATTTTTTAAATACTTTCTAGTCTTTTGGCATCTTTAAGCTTTGAGCTTTCATCACCCTCAGTCTCCATACTCACCCAAGCCTTTCTCAATTCTCTAATTCTTACCCAAGGAAATTGCTTGCTATTAACGTCAAATGTCAACCGCATACAAATTGAAATCTAACATCTCTCTAACTAGATTGGATGAATAAAGCACCTTTATAAGCCTAAATCTTTTAATCATTATTATTTTACTCAGTCATCCACTGCCAGCTATATTTGTGAATAAAATAGGCAAACCGAGCACAAGTTTTATAGCATAAGAGATCAATCAATATGTTGCCCAAAAGCTTAACGTCCCACATCCACCTTATATTGATCAAGCTTGTTAGTAAGAAATCCAATTGAAGATGGCAAATACTTTACAGACTTCAGTGAAGCTCAGCAAAATTTGTTAGATACATCACTTGGATTCAAATACATAAATTTTAGAATAAAAGCAAACAGGAATCTATGTTACACAAATGCATGATGCATTTCTTTTATGGACATACGTTATTGTTTCCAGTTAATATACAGTGAGCCATTCAATATATATATATATATATATATATATATATATATATATATGAAGAAACCTGAAGACTGCAAAAATTTCAGCTCTTCTCTGGTAAGCATAGGAATCACAATTCAACGTACCATTGGTTGAAATTTTCATTTTCGAAGTGTGCTGTAAAATCACCATCACCCTTCGTCTGAGCTGATTACGTCAAGTTCTATCATGTTCACAGAAGATTGATAGGCCTTCTGCCTTTTAGTCTCTGTTCCATTTTTGAATGCAAGATTTGATGGCAGTTTTGTAGCTACAGCAGGTCTGAGGAATTAGCAGCAACGCTTAGCTCCTATTTATCTATCAGAACCACACGTAACTTTCTTTATAGCAAAAAAAAATGCACTTTACCTTTTCCCTGAGCTGGTTTTTATTTCATTTGTCTTTAGAGTTTGTTTATCTGGTAGTTTTAACTCAGTCTTGGCTGGTACAGAAGTTATAATCTTAGATTAGTACATAAAAGTACTCAACTAGGTAATAAAAGTCATATTTAGTACCAGTTATATTGCTGAGGAATCTTATCCCCTGAGAATGGCTATTGGTCGTCAATTTATCTGCAGTACTGCACATGTGTGTGCCAAGATCAGAATAAAACTAGTTGACACTACAATGCCAACAAAAGTAAGCTCTAAAGTCACTCCGGCTGCTAAAAGAATAGGTCAAAATGGCTACTGTGTTGTTTATTTCAAATCGGCACAGCCTGAATGTAAATTAACAAGATTTACTAGAAGAAAAATTGGAGTAAGCTCGCTACAAGTCCTAAGATTGTGACAAATAATTATAACAAGTTATTTAAGTAGCTCTTCGAAACTTCGGCTATCACTAGTAAAGAATATCCGGTTAGCAACAGTACATGAAGCCAGAAGCTGATATATATCCCTTCAAGGGCTTTGGATGAAATTAGTATATGCATTTCTTCAAGGGCTTTGAATGAAATTATAAATGCATTTCTTCAAGGGCTTTGGATGAAATTATAAATTTAACCATAAGCTGATAAATAATGGATGCTCAAAAATAAAAGGACGAACCTCAGGACTCTCCTAAGTCCATCTACAGACATTACTTTTGCTTGCTGCACTGAATTTGCCCTATTTGTTTGGCTCGCTTGGGGATTAACAATGTAAACACCCTCTGGTTGGGGTCTGAATGCCATTTTTAAGTTCCTGGAATGAAAATTCACCAGAAACAAAAAAGAATGATAGTTTTACAATTTTATGAATAGAGATCATCTCAATGTGAAGCAGCAAGTAGGCAGAAAAATCAGATCTAAAAATTCAGTGAACATAAACAATAAATAAACAAAACGGCAAAATATCTACTTACCCACCCTTCAGTTCGGTACGTGCAGTGGTATAACTTCGGGAGGTTTTCTGTTGCAAGAATGGTTATACACATGAAATAGGAGTTAAACTGTTGTGCTAGAGATGAGTGAATTCTCTTACCGAGGAATGATATTTGCAATACAACCCCTTATTTCTGCAATAAAAAATAATTTTCATTATTAACGTATAATTGTTGGGATATGATGCATCAATGGCTACGAAATCAAACAATATATACCAACACTAGCACCAACAAAATAAGAAAAAGTAAACCATACAAAGTGCGCTGGCAGCCTGGCACCTTGACAACTTAAGGTGACAACTGACATTATATATATATATGATTGTTTCGATGGTACAGTAAGACTGGAATGCGTTAGTTTTCAAAAATGTATTTGGCATCCTTTTTATTTATTAAAATTTGACTGACAAAAAGGCATCCTAATGAACTTTATAAATACAAATGTATCTTTAACAATTAGATGATGATACTTCACTCTCATTTCATATAAAAAGAGGATATTTTGATCCAAAAGATTAATCTTCTTAAGATAAACCAATCAAGTATTCATCTTCATTAAGATCCTTTTCGAGTAAAAGTTTCATCTCAATAATGTAATTTTGCAGTTTGTATCTTTTTCAATAATATTTACAATCATTTTGTATAAATATTCTATAACCTTTGGATTAATTGGTGATTAGGGCCACCAAAAAAGCTAAATGTTTGCAGACTATTCATGATCGACTCATTGAAAACTTGTATTTGATTTGTTCATTAAGAAAGCGAGCTAAGCACAAATAGGCATTTTAATCTCTAATTTTAAACAAGTTGAACATGTACAAAGGTACAGTTTGATCGTGTCGTATATGCTCGAAATAATTATGCTTGAAGTTATTGCATAATATGGACCTAATCTTATATTGCCATCTTAACATGTGATGTGAGTGCCTATAATTGAAAGAGAAATACAAGCGACCACAAAGAAGTAGATGAACACAAAAAAAAAATGGCTAAAAAATGAGTGCACCTTTATGCCAAATGGGTAGGTTGATCACAAAAAGCCATCTATTACAAATTTTTTTATTAATTCACCATCTGACATAGTATTCATGGAGTATATAGATTCATTTGAATGTTAAAAGGCTACAATTGAGTTCATTGAACTCTTTGATGTATAGATATAGAAGGTTGGAAAATAGAGTATATAGCAAATTACTCTAACTATATTCTTGCATATTAGCCACTTATAATATTATAGGCTTGAGCTCGTTTGGAAAGCTCGAGCTTCACTCGATGGTTGAACTCGATTTCTTAATTTTCAATTAAAAAAAATTCATAGAATTTTTAATTATAATATAAATTAATTTAAAATTATTAAAATATATTATATAATCCTAATTTAATTAATTTTTAAATATATCTTAAATTAATCGAGTGGCTCAACGAGCTTTTGAGCCAACTCAAATTGAGCTTAAGCTCGAGCTCGTTTAATATATGAGCTCGAGTATAGGCTCGAGCTCGAACTCACGGCTTGACAAGCTCGACTTGTGAGCTCATTAATGAGTCGAGCTCGAGCCTCTCGCGAACCAGCTCTATAATACTACAAAATATTCAAAATGTGAATTTTGGCTAAGAAATATTTCTTTCATGGGGCTTCAACTGTCGAGATGCATAAGCAATTACCTTTCTACTCTGCATTAGAACACATCCCAAGCCCTTCAAAGATGCATCACTGTAAATCTGAAATCCTTCTATTCCTGAGGCAAGTGTCAATACTGGGGCTGTCGTCAGTAATCTTTCAATGCTTGAAAGTTTTTCTCACATTCCGTCTTATGTTAAAGTGAAATGGAAATATAGACCTGAAAAAGATGCAACTTGGGAGAGGGAAGAAAACATTAAATTGAAATTCCCTTGTTTCATGACCGCTAAAGCATTGAATTTTGAGGATGAAATTTAAATAAGGGGTGAATTATAATACCCAAAAATATTCAAAATGTGAATTTTGGCTAAGAAACATTTCCTTCTTGGGGCATATTATCAATGGTGAAGGAATTTCTGTAGACCCTCAAAAAGTAAAAGCAATTATGGAATGGCCAACACCAAAGAATGTTACAAAGGTTCCTAGTTTTCTTGGAGTAGCAGGATATTACAGAAGGTTTGTCAAAAGATTTTCACAGATTGCTATGCCTTTGTCCAAACTAATGAGGAATGAGTTAAAATTTGAATGGACAACGGAATGTGAGAAAAGCTTTCAAGCATTGAAAGAGCATCTAATGATAGCCCCAATATTGACACTTCCCTCAGGAACATAAGGATTTCAGATTTACAGTGATGCATCTTTGAAGGGCTTGGGATGTGTTCTAATGCAGAATAGAAAGGTGATTGCTTATGCATCTCGACCGTTGAAGCCCCATGAAAGAAATTATCCCACTCATGATTTGGAGCTGGCTGCAGTGGTATTTGCTTTGAAGATTTGGAGACATTATCTATATGGGGTAAGATATGAAATTTTCACTGATCACCAGAGCCTAAAATATATATTTTCACAGAAGGAATTAAACTTACGACAAAGAAGATGATTAGAACTCATCAAAGATTATGATTTGGATATTCAATATTGTCCAGGAAAATCTAATATTGTGGCTGATGCACGATAAAATGGATGATTACTCAGGAGATTCAATTGATCAAGGAAATGGAAAGTTTGCAATTGGAGATTAGAGACTTAAAAAATATGGAGTTTGATATGCTGAAGTATTGGGAGAATCTAAATATATTTCTTTCCTTCTGTTATATTCCAATTTGACCGTTAAGGGGGCAAATTGGGGTGTGACAAGCTTGACTCGCTTACACCCCCAGTATGAAGCAAACCTAACATCACAATCATAGATAATGGTTGAAGAATTGTTATATAGACGTATAATTTCTTCAAATAATAGTCTAACAATATCGCAAGCATCATTCATTTTGAAACAAAGTAGAAAATTAGTCATATTGGAGAGTCTATCAACTACTACAAAAATACTATCATGTCCTCAAGCTGTACAGGGTAATTGATGTAGGCAAAGGGGGGGTCAAATCATTTTGGGTGGTAATTTTAGTAAGCTTAAATATCCTCTACTAAAAGTCAGCTCACTAATGTTGAGCTACTACTTATTCATCCATTAATTTGAAATTATTTGAGTTCATTCCCCCCTCTCTATTGTCCCTTTGGTTTCCCCCTTGGCTACCTTTTATGGTTCCCTGTGAAGCCCATTCCTCCCCCTTTGACTGCCTGTTCTGGTCCCCTAGATACCTATTCCGGTTCCCTGAGCTGCTGGTTCCAGTTCTCTGGGCTGCTGGTTCCAGTTCCCCTGGGCTGCTGGTTCCAGTTCCCTGGGTTACTGGTTCCGGTTCCCCTGGCTGCTGTTCCGATTCCTTTGGTTGTTTTTTCCAGTTCCCCTGGTTACCTATTCTAGGTCCCCACTCGGCTACCTTCCCGTGGCTGGTTCCTTTCCCCTTTGGCTGCCTTTTTTTGTTTTCAATGTGGTTGTTCGGATGTTGTTCTAGACTGAATGCTGGCCTTCTATTTTCCCTTTTTTTAATTAGTTTAAATGGGGGAAACTTGGGTTGTTTGGCTCCCTTTTCTCCTATATATATTAGATGTTTTATAGTTTTAATAAGAGTTATGTGAGGTATTTTTCGAAGCTAAAAAACCTGCGGGTTTTCTTGGAAAAGCTTGCGAACTTGTTCCATTCTTCCTCTCCTTCTTGGGAAAGCTTGTGAGTTTATCCTCTCATTCGTCTCGGCTTCTCACCTTTTTCTTCTCTCCGCAAGTTCGACATCAATTTTATCTTTCTTCTCAAATCAATAAAAGCAAGTTTAAGTGTTTGTTTTTATGTCATAAGTTTGTAAGGGTCATCTTTATCCTATAAAGTTGTATTTTGTTTAAATGTCGTATTTTATCTATTTTTGAGTATTTTGTATATTTTCTTATGTTCTTAGGAAGTCTTTTCTTTTGCTTGCAAAAATTAGAGTTTTTTCTAATTTTTTCTTCCATCAATTTGGTATCAGAGCTAGGTTTGTGCCTTACTAAGTTTTTCGTGTCTTTTGTTTAAGTGTTTAGATAAAAATGGAAAAAGACAAAAATTGAATCAGTGGTTGGAGAAAGTAATCCAGAAGATCTTGAAGAAAATATTCCTACGGATAAATGGATTCCGACGGAAGGAAGTTCAACAGATCCCCTACAGAATGAATTATACAAACCACAAATGAATATGCACTTGTGTACAGAGCAATATATGAAGAAAAAGAAATTTCTGCAAGAACAATTCAAGCAAGAACGAGAGGTGATTCTAAAGAAATATGAGGCCAAAATTCAAGAGTTGATGCGGCTCCTTTGTCTCATCAGGAACATACTCAAGCAATCTCATCAGGAGATGAGTATTTTCAACCGGAGGAGAATCTGATGTAGGCAAAGAGGGGGGGGGGGGGGGCAAACCATTTTGGGGTTTAATTTTAGTTAGTTTAAAATCCCGCCACTAAGTAAGCTTCAATATCCGCTACTAAAAGTCAGCTCATTAATGTTGAGCTACTACTTATTCAACTCATTAATTTGAAATTATTTGAGTTCATTCCCCCCCCCCACTCTCTACTGTTGCTTTGGTTTCCCCCTTGGTTGCCTTTTGCGATTCCCTGTGAAGCCCGTTCCTCCCCCTTTGACTACCTGTTCCGGTTCCCTAGATACCTGTTTCGGTTCCCTGGGCTGCTGGTTCCGGTTCCCCTGGGCTGGTGGTTCTGGTTCCCTGGGCTGCTGGTTTCGATTCCACTGGCTGCTGTTTCGATTCCCTTGGTTGTTTTTTTCGGTTTCCCTGGTTACCTATTCCGGTTCCCCACTTGGTTGCCTTCCCGTGGCTGGTTCCTTCCCCCTTTGGCTGCCTTTTTCCGGTTTTCTGTGTGGCTATTCGGGTGATGTTCTGGACTAAATGTTGGCCTTCCATTTTCCCATTTTTTAATTAGTTTAAATGGGGGAAACTTGAGCTGTTTGGCTGCCCCCTTTTCTCATATATATATATATATAAATAAGATGTTTTATAGTTTTAAAGAGTTATGTGCAGTATTTGATGAAGCTAAAAAACCTACGGGTTTTCCTGGAAAAGCTTGCGAGCTTGTTC